TACCCTAAGTCGTGTGGTGAAATTTATCTCTGAAAATCGCCCAAACCGAGCTCCCAACTCTGTTTATATCAAAAATGGCAAAATCCCCCGTTTATAGGGATTTAATGCTTGGAGCGCCACATGTGGCGTAGGGCGCTGCCTGTGGCGCTGTTTCCAGAACCTCTAAAACATCCCAGCGCCAGGGCTAGCGCCCCACGCTACCCTGGGCGCTGGTGACGGGATTTTATTTTTTCCGATATAGAAATGGGCATAACTTTCTCATACGATGTCTGAATTCGATGATTCTTTTTGTTGTGGCTCCGTAATTTCAATGCGAATCTAATGCAAAATCAAAACTGAATTTGGAGCTCATTTTCTTAATGTGATACCACGTATTCTTGAAAAATCAATGTCGAAATATTCTAGAAATATCCAAATTAAATTCTGTTAACCATTCAAAATCCACCCGAGACCCTCGGGACCTCAACCAAATATACCAACAAGTCCTAAAATATGATACGAACTTAGTTGATGCCTCAAATCACATCAAACAACACTAAAAATACAAATCACACCCCAATTGAAGCTTAAATGAGACTATCGAATTCCAACTTTTATATTTGATGCCGAAACCTATCAAATCAAGTATGATTGACTTCAAATTTAGCACACAAGTCATAAATGACATAACAGACCTATTCAAATTTTCAGAATCGGATTCCAACCCCGATATCAAAAAGTCAACTCCCGGTCAAACTTTCAATCTTTCAATTTCCTATTTTCGTCATTTCAAGCCTAATTTAACTACGGATTTCAAAACGAATATCTGGACACACTCCTAAGTCCAAAATCACCATACATAACTATCAGAATTATCAAAATTCCATTCCGGAGTCGTTTGCACAAAAGTCAAACTTTGGTCAACTCTTTTTATTTAAGCTTCTAAACAAGGATCCCTCTTTCAATTTAATCATGAATCATCCGAAATCAAAGTCGACAATTCACACAAGTCATAATACACATTACGAAGCTGCTCAAGACTTTAAATTATCGAAAAGAGCGTAGATGTTCAAAACGACAAGTCGGATCGTTACACTAAAATTCCTAAATTTGGAGCATATTATTTCACTGTTTACAGTAAAAAAAAAAATGGTAAAAAGAATTCAAATTCAGAACTCCCATGTTGTCTTATATTACTACTATTAATAAGAGGGAATTTGAGCTGCCTCTGGTAAACAATTGAGCTGCATCCGGTTTCAATATGGGTCATAAAGGTATTTATGTTATTTTATGAAATGGAGCAATACTATTGGCTCAAAGAATTGATTATTGTAGCTCCCACAAAAAGTTTCGACGTGTTGACTATTTTGCCCATCTTTTGATATGCTATTTTAGCTAGAGTCCTACACGTGCCATCAGTTAAGTCAGCCATTATACTGGGCCCACAAGAATGATGGAGTCCCCTGACAAGTTTGCATGTACTTTTTCTTTTTGGCTATTGATTTAATTCATCAGTATTCTAATAATGAAAGTTGAACTTCAAAGGTCAAGAGTTTTTCAACTTCTGTTAATGGACTATGGAAAAAGAATTAACTTTTTGATTTGTTGAGCCTTTCAAATAATATATTATATTGCTATAATCAAACTATATGGAAAAAATTTTAAGGAGGCTTTTTACTCTTCTGTGTTTTAACTTGGATGCAAAATTGGTATGACAATATAATTGAATTTAATTTATGCATAGCATACGTGTTACATAAAAATTATAATAAAAGAGAATATTTAAAATATGCAAAGAAGCAACCCATTAGGAGAAATGCACCTATTTTCTCATTTTATAGTAATTTTCTTGGTCATATCTGGTTAGGAACATAAGTAAGAAATATAAATCAATCTGTATTTTTCTTTAAAAGAAATCAGAAATGAAAACGTTTCAATCAAGATAATAAGGGTTATCTTAGTATAGTTCTTTCCTAAAAATAACAGGAATGAACAAAAAACTCATTGAATCATGGCATAAGGTCATTATGCCAAGTGGCATGTCACAAATAAGCAGTATACTAAAATTAAGCAAGTAGCTTCGAATAAGCATGTTGCAAGGCGGATCCAGGATTTAAATTCTATGGGTTTAATTTTTAAGATTTTTAACATTGAACACCTTATATATTTAAAGCTATGGGTTCAAATCTATTATTTTTGCAATTTTAATGAATTTTTACACATAAATTTCTATTCCGCGTCAAAAGTTACGGGTTCAATTGATCCCATAACTCTCACACTGGATCCGCCTCTAATCTCCTAATTTTCTCCTCTTAATATTTTTACACCGCATCTGTAATAATAATCTCGCATGATATGCAATGCAAGTGATATGTCACTTGGCATTAAGACTGTAGGTTAGCTTTTGACGTAAAAGTAAAATATTTCATAATTTCTCAATTGACAAAAAGAAAGTACAAAAGTCAATATTATAAATGTAACGATCCGACCGGTCATTTTGAGCTCTAACGTGTCGTTCGACGGTTTTAAGCTTTGAGTAGTTTCACTTTAGGTATTATGACTTGTACGCGTGGTCGGAATTGAATTTCGGTAAGTTCAGAGTTGATTTGGAAAGAAAACTCCCATTTCGGAAGCTTTAAGTTGGAAGAATTGACTAAGGTTTGATTTTTGAGTAAACGACCTCGGAATCGGGATTGAAATGTCCCATCAGGTTCGTATAATGATTTTGAACTTGGGCATATGTCCGGATCGGGTTTTGGATGACCCGGGAGCGTTTCAGCGCCTATTGTGGAACATTGGCGTTTTGGAAGAATTTCATAGATTTGGGGTTGAAGTGCATTTCAATGTTATTGATGTCCGTTTGGGATTCCGAGTCTGGGAATAACTCCGTATGGTGATTCTGATATTGGGAACGCGTTCGAATGTGGATTTGGAGGTCTGTAGGTCATTTGGCGAAAGTTAGAAATTTGAAGGTTTTTGAGAAATTTGACCGAGAGTGGACTTTTTGATACCGGGGTTGGATTCCGATTCCTCAAGTTGAAGTAGGTCCGTAATGTCGAATGTGACTTGTGTGCAAAATTTGAGGTCAATCGGACGTGATTTGATAGATTTCGACATCGAATGTAGAAGTTTGAAGTTCTAAAGTTCATTAAGCTCAAATTGGGGTGCGATTCATGATTTCGATGTTGATTGATGTGATTTGAGGCCTTGAGCAAGTTTGTGTTATGTTATGGGACTGGTTGGTGTTATGTTACAAAAATCATGAGCAAGTGTAGTTATATTTCATAACTACACTTGTTTATTTCATTTATTTACTCTGCCTCATATTTATTCACCTTCTTATTGTACCTGATATTATTGGACCACTAGTGAGTGTCGATGTCGACCCGTCGTCTCTACTCCTCCGGCATTAGGTTAGATACTTACTGGGTACGCATGAATTTACGTACTCATACTACACTTGCTACATATTTTTGTACATGTATTTTTATGTTTGGTGGTCCTTTGGGCATGAAGGCACGGATGATGTGGGGACTTGGCGCGAGCTGCATTTCAGGTTACGATTCGCAGCCAGCAGAGTCTCCTCCAGGGTTATTTATATTTTTTCTGTCTAATTTGTATTCCGGACAGATGTTGTATTTTATTTTACTTCCTAGTTGATGCTCATGCACTCGTGACATCAGGTTTTGGGAATACTTTTGGGATGTTCTGTATTAAGGTTTGTAAAAAAATATTGCCATTTACTTTGTAAATTTTATCTCTTACCATTTAATTGAAAGAAATTTACGATTTCAAAAATACTAAAATGAGTAATTAAGTTAAACTTTTATTGATGGCTTGCCTGACAGTGGTATTAGACGTCATCATGACCTTTAATGGATTTTGGGTCGTGACAATAAAATAGCTAACATGAAATATTTACACAACGAATATCTCTAAAGAAACTAAAGTTGTTAGTCTATTGAGTTAGTCTAACCAACAATGCACCATCTAAAACTCAAAATAACAAGCACAAATTTAAAATAAATTAGTCGTGGTTAACTAAGAACAGTCAAACTAAGTGCAAGGAAGCATTTGGGCAGCTTGTAATCACCATTGAGTTATAGAATGAGAAACGCACAATTATGATATGGCACAACTAGATATATATTCAAAGTATTCATACTCCTACGTTTTTTTCATAGTTATAAAAAAATACTAAATTTCCTCTCTTTTTTTGTATGGTGGAGGAACACACTAAAAACATTAGTTTAAAGTGTAAAAACTATTTTTATACAAAAATTTAAAAATCAAATATTTCCCTAGCAAAGTGTAAAATCAAATATGTATAAAAATTTGATGAATGAAAATGACATTGTAAAAGGAGAAGTTCCCGAGAAAGTCACAATCTAACTCATTTTCTTACAGTTTTTGAAGGATACTGCACTTAATCAACCAGCATATGATGCCATTTTTGTGTTGATATTCTTGGTTTGATTTATGAAGACCTATCCTAGCATCTACTTCAGTTATCCATTAATTTGTCAATTGCATTACTCAGTCCACTTACTAAGTGCATTTCGATAATTGTGCTTTAAAAATTGCTTTTGTTAATTCGATAAATAAACAAGAATTATTAGTTAATATAAAAAAAATTCTCTTACCATGTTTTATTAAGTAGCTTTAAAAGCTTTTCATATTGTACTGGAGCATCGTTTATTTCATTATGATGATTTTGTAAATTGGAGTGTTTTTGTAACATAAGTCTGCCGCTTATTGAATTTAAGATATAAAATTAGAATTTTGTGTTTGACGAAGAATTAAAATATAATAGTACTAAAATTATTTCTAAAGGAGGATAGGCTTAAAAAACTTTCAAATATTGGACCCGTGCCAACCCGGGCTACCCTCACCTAAGTATTTCTCATATATCTCAATCAGATAACTATTTTATTAGTGACATAAGTTAAAATAAAATTTTTAAGTTAAATTACGCGTGAATAACAGTAATTATTATTATTACTATTTTTATTTTTTTGCGAGGTTGTGTTTTCAGAGTGCCCGGGGAGCAAGAAGACGACTGGGAAGTCACCACGTGGTTCTCAACTTTACAGTAACACCATCCTTTAAAGCTAGCCCTCTCCGCACCTCTCTTTCTTCTCTTCACTTCCGAGCTTATTAGGCTTCTCGAGGGTTTTATCTCAAGGGCCTGTACATTACACCTAAGGTAAAGTTTCTGTTTTTGATGTTAATTTGCTGCATTTGTTTAAGTGAGTGAAACCCCAGACAGTAAAGTTTCAGTCTTTGCTTTATTTTACTTAGTTGTTTGATGGGTTTTCAAGGGACAATGAAAATTTAAGTCGGTTAAAGTGTTGTCGCGTTGGGAGTTCTTTTTAAATCTTTAGTACATTTTTGTGTTTGAGAATGTTGTATTCGTAGCTTCTTGAAACTGTGAAGTATCTTGTATAGATTTCTTCTGTTGTAACTACTTAAGTGATTACTTCTGAGTTCCCTTTTTAATTTAACTTAGTTAGCGCGATTCTTGTTTTTTAGTGGAAAAGAGTTATTTTTAGCCTTGTAAGTGTAATATACTTGATTTCTTAGTCTATTGAAGTGTTTCACTTTCTCAAACGCATTTTTGTTAATTTTAGCAACATCTTTCCACAGTCTGTTCTGTCCTGTGGCCTACATTACTATCTATTGATCTTATAATTTGGTGTTACTTTGCGAGCATCTTCTTGATATCATTTTGGTATATTCAGATTCTTTTTTTAGACAGAGAGATTCAGATATTTGCTTTACGTCAATCTATAATCGGCGGTGATGTCTCCAATAGTTCATTCTCCAATAGTTCATTCTATCATTGCTGCCATCTATTAGGTCTTTTTTTGGGAGGATTTTAATTGTTGTTAAGTGAAAGGGAATTTCTAAATATGAATGAATACAGTGATACTACTTGATATGCTTTTGGTTCAAGTCCTTGCTATCTCACAATGCATTGATCTTATTAAGTATTTATCTGTGTCTTTTGCATGTAGCAGCTACAGTAGCTTTTGGGTATACCTTCTCCGTTACTACTATGGATAATTTCAGAAGTTTTGGGTTGGGCAAAGCATTTAGGAAACAGAGGACTAATCTGTATCGCCGGCCTCAAAATGAGTCCCAGATGCTTCTGGATTGTCCTGACAATTCATCAATTTCATCAACGCCACAATCTGATAGGTTGAGCAGAGCATCCAGTCATGACATTGTTGATTATGGTAATATTTCAGGAACATCATATAGTAACCTCAGTGGCACGGAGACTGCCATGAATCAAGGTGTGGAAGATGGAAACTCTGGAGACTTCCGTTCTGGTGATACTGAACAAAAGGATGGTCAGATAGATATGAACAGATTTAGTGAAGGATACGTCACAACATCTCATATAGAAGATCCCCAAATAAGCGGAACTGTGATTTGCAATAACCATTCTGGACTGCATGGAATAGTATCAGATGGAGCTGGGAATGACAATAAAGTCAAGAAAGTGAAACTCAAGGTTGGCGGTGTTACAAGAACAATACACACTTCTGTTGCTGGGTCCTCTTCAACAAAGTCTTCCTCCTCTTCAGATGCTCCCCAACCATGGCAACCAAAGGTCAATATTCATTCTCCTGTTGTTATCATTGCACACATTTCATGCTATATGAAATTTTAGGAAACACATCATACTGACTGGGGATGCACCTTGGTCTAACACTAAAAGAAATGGTGTTGCTTACGATTGGTATTTACTAGATGTTGCATAGAAGATTGTAACCTAAACGGTCTTGGTCTAAGGTGCCAGATTAAGGTTCTGGTCCTAAAGGGTGTGGGTTCAAATTCCATGTGTTAAACATAACTTAATGCATATCAGGACAATCTTACATAGAAGCCTTACAGAAAACGTACCTGATGCGGAAGATATTATCGTAAAGAAACAACGAAAGCCTTGTAGCAAAATCAATTTCTCGCCCCTTTCCCTAACTTACGTTACCATTTAGTTACAAACTTTCCCTATCTTGTCTTGAATGAGCTTGTCATGTTGAAAGTTCTCTATAGCTTCGTAGTTTGTCCTGTCAGCAATTCTTGAGCTTCTTTAAGTAGTTTTCTCTTTTTCATGGCTGCAAAATCCAAGTTTGTGGGACATCAGCTTGCAGTCTCTTTCACTTGATAAAAGTTTAAACTTAAAGCCACCAGCTAAGTCCATAAGAATGTGACCATCATACCACNACTGATGATTAGTGTCTGCATAGGCCAATTTGAGGTCTGCTTTTTATGTTTTGTAGGAGAATACAGGTGGACATCATCCCTCTTATACTGGCAAGGCAATTGGCTTACGAGGTATCCCCTGGAAGGATTTTGCTAAAACTGGTTTTAGCATCAGGAATGTGGATTCCTTGCAGGATCAGTTACCTGGGCAGATTGTCCCTTTGAAACAATTTGGAAAATATAAAGCAGCTCATAAAAGCAAACCTGTGCTTTATAGACATTTATCAGATGATGAAGAAGATGATGATGAGATCCGTTACCTGGAGAAGCTCAAGTCTTCCAAGTACTCTGCTATTTATAGTGCTGGCTATGAGGATGTTGATGAACCTGGAAGTAAAAAGCAACGGAAGATATCAAAGGTGTCAAGTCAAACTAGTAATGGTTATGGTGCAGGTATTAGTGATTACAACTCGCTCAAAGCACGTAAAGGGATGAAGAAGTCCAAATCAGCTAGAGAATCTCAGGATACTGACTCTGAAGGAGTGATGCTTTCTGATACTGAGTTAGAACCCAAGAAGAAGCAACAAGGAAAGGAATTCATTGATTTCTCAGTGGATGGTGGGACAAAATTGGCTGTCACTACTCGCCAACGGGCAATTCAAACTGGAAAGGATATTTCTTCCAGCACAGGCTTGAGTGCAATTGGATTCCCCCATGGGCTTCCACCTCCACCACCTAAAAGTATGTTTTCCTGTTATCTGTGGTTTACATACTTCAGCTGAGGATCAGCTGATAAATTCGTTTTGATCTGGTTGCAGAACAAAAGGAGAAGCTATCTGAAGTGGAACAGCAGTTGAAGAAAGCTGAGGCTGCACAAAGACGGAGGACGCAAGCTGAAAAGGCTGCTCGAGAGTCTGAGGTTTATACCTCTTCCTCTAGTTTATGTGCTTATGTCAATATAGCTTCCGTACAGCTATATAAGTGCTTTACATGTATTGATTTTTACAGGCTGAAGCAATAAGGAAAATCCTCGGTCAAGATTCTTGTAGGAAAAAGCGAGAAGATAAACTTAAGAAGCGACAAGAGGAGTTAGCACAGGTGAGATGCAGCACAAGTCGAGCATCTTGAATTTCAAAGTTTGTTGTAGCCCCTTCTACTTTACAGTTTTTGGCAATTTCCATACGATTTATTAAAAGGGCAGCCCGGTGCACAAAGCATCCCCGTTCATGCAGGGTCCGGGTAAGGGCCGCACCCCAAGGGATGTAATGCATACAGCCTACCCTAATGCAAGCATTAGTGGCTGCTTCAACGGCTCGAACCCGTGACCTATAGGTTATATGGAGACAACTTTACCGTTGCTCTAAGGCTCTCCTTTTTCCATAGGATTTATTACGGGTCAAAATTTAGCAATTATACATGTTCGCCGCTGGTTTCATTTTTTCTTCTTTCTTGTTTTTTTTCCTTTCCTCTCCTCTCCCTCTTGACCATCTATGGGAATGGTTCCTTTTAGTTCATTCCTTTCTCTGGTCGCCGTCCATAGTAATGGCAAGAAGTATCTTCTTCTTCCCTTCTGCCACTCCCGCTCCTTACTGCTTTAAAATACTCTTCCATTGTCTTTTAAAGTGTCTATGACATCCTTAAATGAGCACATCTGGATCATGTGCGGTCATTTCCACGCACTTCTAGAATGTAGGGAGGAAGCTGTTACTATTTAAAGAGAGTAATTTCTTGATAAGGAGTCAAAAGCTACAATGTTGATTTTTCTTCTGCACTCTACTCTTTATTATATTTCACAAATTATCTTTTGCACATATGTTTATTCATTCAGGAGAGGAATGCAACTGCTATTGCACTGTCATCAAGTACTATCAGATGGGTCATGGGTCCTTCTGGTAATGTTGTGACATTTCCTAATGAGATGGGACTCCCAAGCATATTTGAGCCTAAGGCTTGCAGGTGATATATTCTTTAGAACGAAATGCTTATTCTGGAATTTTGGATGCTTAGAGTTGGTAGCTCGAGGACCTTTTCCGGTATTCAAATTTTTTCCTCTCTTGTTTAACTACTGATCACTAATTTATGTTACCTTTTATATGGGTTTTATCTGGTTTTTCAGCTATCCTCCACCTCGCGAGAAATGTGCTGGTCCATCTTGTATGAATACGTATAAATACAGAGACTCGAAATCAAAACTTCCTCTATGCAGTCTCCACTGCTACAAGGCAATACGTGAGAAGATTCAACCTTTGAATGCTTGTTGATTGAGCAGAGATCTTACAGGCCTTATACTGATAGGCACTTGGCCTATTTTTTTTGTAGAGAATCGTGTGGTGGATGTTTTGCATACCATCTTATGATTCTTATCTCATACTTCTGCTGGCATAATCTATCACTTCAGCTGGAGTTGTTCATAGTAGCGTACAGTATGGAACATTACCAGCAAAGCTGGTTCCGATAGATTATATGACTTTAGTCGATCCAGTTATCATAATTGGCATTGAAAACAGGGACTTATGGTCCAAACATTTTGAGTCGAATGGTAGTCTAAATGCAGTCAAATATTTTGAAGTCGAATGTTAATCTAAATACTGTCATGCTGTGAATACACTTTGAAGCTGCTATCCTTACCTTCAAAGGTTAAGGGAGGTCCTGTGTGAGTAACAAGGGTCTGTGCATCTGTTCTCCCGAATCCTGTCCCTTACTCCAGAATGTGCTATCATAGACATGAAATTTTATACAACAATTTTTTGTGTTCGGTACGATAATTTTGTTGAGTAATTTATAAAATTTACTGAACTAACTTCAATATTAACTTTAAGCTTTAATTTGACAATGTAAAAATGTCTCTTTACTACATTTTGTGTATGAGCCAAAACTAGAGGAAATCGTAAATATATCGCACTAGAATTGATTTCTCATATTATCCATGGATTTGGAAATTCGGCCTAATCTATTATTGTGGGGTCGAATCATATATGTGCAAAACCAGATAAAAATATATAGAGTCATAAATATTTTTCAATTTAGAATATAAATTGAGTATTTTAATTGTGAATCCACCAATATTCCCAAAACTATATTTGGTTTGCATGTGGAATGCTTTTTAGCTTATCCTATCAGAAAACAGTTGATTGTATTAACAATATTACGAGCGTGAATACAATCAAGCCTTTAAGGACTTGGTCTTATAATCATGTACTACTACACTTATTAGTCAATCATTAGCATAAGTGTTGAATCATGGTTGAACGATAGAGTATGAGTTTTGTGGTATATAACTATATATGGAAGGAATGGGGGTTGGTGAGGACATCCAAATTTCAAGTATACTTTTCTTTCAATTCCTGTTCTTGATATTTAATAGAGGGGGCAATGGGGCAGTTGAGGCATGTTCATGTAACATCACTTCACTGCCACCCTTCTTAGGTTATCCTCTATCTAACTTGTACTACATAAATTTATTTTGGCCTAACCACTTTGAACTATAAGTTTTTATTTTATATCCAATGTTCTGAGGGAATAATACTAATAGTTGAAGTATCCTTATCAACCTGTAAATTGCAGTAGTATATACTCTCTCGTGCAGTAGAATTTATTAAGATTGCAATATCTAACTTTACCAATTTTATTCAAACATTAAATTTAATGTAGGTTTCGACTGAAAATGGGAGTATTATGTGCTATTATATATGAATTACACGTTGGTATAAATGCCGAAAAATCTTTTCTACAGCAGTTTAGATGTCCAAGTTAGATGGGGACATGAAGGCCGAGCAATTCAAACGCCCCCACTCCATCTATCTTTCTTGAATATTTTTAGTGAAATTCTTGATTATGCAACTGAGGTTTTGTAGACCGGAGTAGTTGCAACCAATTCAAACAACCCCTGTTGAGACTCAAAATCATTTTACCCAAAAAAACAAATGAAAGAAAATTAATCTTAATGTCTCTTTCTTTTTTACTTTGGGTTATTTTAGGCCAACTCTGGCGTATTGAACTATCGCATTCATACTGTTCATTGAAAAAATAAAATGTAAGAAGTCTCTATCATGACATAACGACTTAGCGTATCGTTATTGTTGATGTTTGTTTTTGTGTCTAATAATGTAATTTGGTTGCTTGCTTTTGGAGGTTATTGGCAAAACAAATATAATCCAATCTATTGTGCCATAACTTGGCATGCACGCTGATGTTTACTTGAAATCGGAATAATTTAAATTTTTATTTCGCATTGCAATTTTTATTTTATTTAATAGATTGTTCATCTATCTTGTTTTATGATCTTTTTTGTTTTGTTTGCGTTTCTCCATATTTTATCTATATGTCTAAATCTTTTATTAGGTGGCGAAAGCAACAATTAATGCTGAATAAGACGAGCTGGTTTATATTGTTATGTTTAACATTATTTTTCAAGTTTAGGTTTGTGATCTAATTAGGCAAAGGGAAAAAAAAAGGACAAAGAAAAAGAAAAAGATAATGCGGTCAACAAAGTCTAATTTGTTATAAAATAAAGATGGTAAAGTAAAGAAGTATAGAGAGAAACTGATATATTATTCAATTTCAAACAGATATACATAATGAATTGAAAACTCATCTATTTATAGAAGAAAGGAAGCAGCTGCGACGCTTTTCAGAAAGCAGTTGCAAGGCTTTTCAGAAAGCAACTGCAAGGCTTTTCTTGAGCTACTTGTACGCTGTCTGCATGAGCTGCTTGCAACCTGCCTGTTTAATAAGAAGTTGCCGCAAATCATTTCATTTGAGTTGCTTGCAACCTGCCTGCATCAGATGCTTGTAAATAAACTTCTTCACGAAGATTATCTATAGCGGAGTAATAAATGGACATCCCTTAGATGTTCATTAAAAGATATTGTGCCTCGTTAAAACCTTACTAGGAAAAATCCTAGTGAAGAAAAAAGAGTACACATATTTAGTAATACACATTTCTAACTGCCTCATTAAATACCTTATAAGAAAAATCTCATAGGAAAAACCTTAGTAAGGAAAAAAGAGTACAACGCGTATTTCACTCCCCCTGATGAAAACCTTGTTTCAAATATTTGAGTCTCTGCATTCCAATCTTGTATGCCATCTTCTCAAAAGTTGAAGTTGGCAAAGATTTAGTGAACAAATCTGATGAATTGTCACTTGAACGGATTTGTTGTATATCGATGTCACCATTATTCTGAAGATCATATGTGTAGAATAATATTGGTGAAATGTGCTTCGTTCTATCTTCTTTTATAAATCTTCCCTTTAATTGGGTTGTGTATGCAGTATTGTCTTCGTATAAAATTGTGAATCTTTTATCACATTCCAAACTATATTTTTCTTGAATATAATGAATCACTGATCTCAACCTGTAACGATTCGGCCGGTTGTTTTGAATATTATAACCCTGCTCCCCCATTTACTGCTCAATTTATGTCTTGCAATTGATTTATGACTTATCGGATTAGTTGGTTCGGGTCCGGAAAGAACTCGGAGTGAAATGAGATACCTAGTCTCATAATTAAAAATTTAAGTTAGAAAAGTGAATCGTATATGGACCTATGTGTAAACGATCTCGGATTTGAATTTTGACGATTCCAATAGCTCTGTATGGTGATTTTGGTCTTAGGAGCTTATCCGGAATATTATTTGGAGATCCATAGAGGAATTAGGCTTGAAATGCCGAAAGTTTAATTTTTTAGAAGTTTTACCGGGGGTTGACTTTTTTATATCGGGGTCAGAATCCGATTCTGAAAATTAAAATACCTCTGTTATGTCATTTATGAATTATGTGCTAAATTTGAGGTCAATTGGACGTGATTTGATAGGTTCCGGAGTCGTTTGTAGAAATTAAAAATTTCAAAGTTTATTAGGCTTGAATTGGGGTGTAATTCATGATTTTAGCGTTGTTTGAGGTGATTTGAGGGTTCGACTAAGTCCGTATGATATTTTAGGACTTGTTGGTATATTTGGTCGAGGTTCCGAGGGGCTTGGGTGAGTTTTGGATGATTAACGGATCAAAAATTTGGATTTGAATAGCTGTTGGAATTTTCTGATATCTGATAATGTTTTCCTTCTACGCGATCGCGTGAATGCGTTTGCGATTGCGTTGGCTTATTTGGTCAGTGAGGGTTTTTGTTCTACGTGATCATGTGGGGATATCTGCGATCGCGTAGGGTTAATGTGAGGCCGTGGCAATTTGTGCTTCGCGATCGCGTGAAGCGGGATGCGATCGCGTAGCTCTAGAATTTTGTGACTCGCGAACGCGTAGAGTAAGTGGAGCGGAGTAGAAGTCACGCGTTTTGTGCTTCGCGATCGCGTGGACTAGTCCGCGATCGCGTATGTCCGTGATGTTGTGCAACGTGATCGCGTGGGAAAGTCCGCGATCGCATAGAGTAAAATCTTGGCGATGGAAAATTGTTCTTCGCGATCGCGTAGAGCAAATGTTTGGGCAGAGAGTTTAAGTTTTGAAAGTTTTTGACGATTTGGAGCTCTGATTTGAGGCGATTTTGGGTGATTTTCAGATGAAACAATGTGGTAAGTGTTCTTAACTCAATATTGGTTAAATTACCCGAGTCCATAATTTTTTTTATTATTTAATTGGTGAATTGAATTGGAAAAATTTGAAAACCCTCTTAGTTTAAATTGAAGATTTGAGGGTCGAGTTGGGGTCGGATTTTGGTAAAATTGGTATGATCAGACTCGTGGTTGAATGGGCTTCCAGATTTTGTAACTTTTGTCGAGTTCTGAGATTTTTAAGCTAATTTTCGGATTTTGTAACTTGGTCCGTCCCGGGAAACTGTAAAGTTGAATAATTTGTTGTTAGCTATATGCTCTCTATGTGTTGATAAAATTTAACTGTAAATCATGCTAGAAATCATGCTTAGGCTATGTGATAGTACTGTTGGGACCCACAGAGGTCGAGTATTTATTGAATTGCGTGCTAAGTGCTATATGTACTTAGTCTCTGTTTTTACTTGCACATTTTATCTCAGTCTCTGTTATTATTATTGATATATCATATCATTGTTATTTGGGCTGATTTCATAATTATTGAGAGCCTAAGAGACTGGAGAGATTTATGACTGAGTGAGGTCGAGGGCCTGATTGTGAGATATTGATACTATAGCACGTGAGTTGTCCGTGCAGTACGTGAGTTGGCCGTGCAGATCCTTATTTTATACTACAACATGTGAGTTGGCCGTGCGGATTCTTATATTATACTATAGCATATGAGTTGGCCGTGAAGCACGTGAGTTGGCCGTGCAAATCCAGATATTTATATTATGGCACGTGAGTTGGCTGTGTGGATCCAGATATTTATATTATGGTACGTGAGTTGTCCGTGCAGCACGTGAGTTGTCCGTGCAGATTATAGCGCTTAGGCTGTAGGAGCCCCTCCGGAGTCTGTACACCCCCAGTGAGCGCGGGTACCCATTGAGAGTGAGTGGTGAGGGCTGGGAGCCCAGGGAGTGATGAGGGCTGGGAGCCTAGTGAGTAATTGTTGTCCTGAGAGGTTGTACTTGATTTTCATTTATTGTTGCACTTAGTTTTTATCTGTCATTGTTGTGAAATCTCTGAAAGATTGTTAATATACGGATTTTATGAACA